GTCAGGGTACATGCCTGGGGTCGAGGGCTCAATCCCTGGGAGTGCGGGTGCAGAAGGCAGCCGATCCGTGTTCCACTCTCATATCGATGTTTCTCTCCCTCTCCCTTCCTCTCTCTCTAAAAATCTTTAAAAAACACACAAAGAGGTGCTTACCTCTGAGCCTTGCCTAGCTAGCTCTGATGTCCCAGAGTCCTATAGACTGAGCGCAGCAAAGACAGCCATGAAAAACCCTAGTTTTCAGGACTGTTTTGGGAGTCAGACTTCAGGGCTGCACTAAGCTCACCTCTCTGACTAGGTCCAGACTCCACAGGTCCCATGCCCAGATGCCGATGTGTGTGGCGTGTCACCCCCACCCTCGTAGCAGGATGTGCTTGGATTGTGCTGACCAGCAGGGGTCTTGCATCCCGATCTCTGGCTCGAGAGCCAGGCAGCGCTCCCCGAGGAGGCTGCCGTTAGGGGTGACCACCGCCGTTTCTGTGGGGGCCACAGGGCCTGGGACAGTGTCCCAGGGAAAGCAGAAGGGACCGGGGCTCTGGATGCAGATCCAAGCGGGAGGAGCTGCGTGGGCGCACTGGGAAGACTTTCCCTGGAAAATGGTTTCTAGAGCCAAGGGATCCCCCAACCCCCATGTCCTTGTCCAACTGCATCCCACCTGCCCCCCAACGCTGCCTCGCTGCCTTGTAGGCCGACAACCCCTCGTTCCCCAACCCTCACCGGAGGCTGCGCCTTCAGGACCTGGCTGATCGGGTGGTGGACGCCTCTGAGGACGAGCACGAGCTCAACCAGCTCCTCAACGAGGCCCTGCTCGAGCGGGAGTCCGCGCAGGTGTAAGTGCCCACCGCGCCCGGCCCAGGCTCCTCGGTGCGGGCCCTGCCACCGTCCTGACAGGCCCAGGCAGAGGTGGCGCTTGGGTCTCACGGCTCATTTCCACCACAGAGTGAAGAAGAGAAACACCTTCCTCCTGTCCATGCGCTTCATGGACCCCGAGCTGGAAACCCGCTACTCGGTGGAGAAGGAAAAGCAGAGCGGGGCCGCCTTCAGCTGCTCCTGCGTCGTGCTGCTCTGCGCGGCCCTGGTGGAGATCGTCATCGACCCCTGGTGAGGGGGCCCTGCAGGAGCCCGGAGGCCGGGGAGGGCGGAAGGCGACAAGCTTCCTAGCCAGAGGCGTGATGTGGGGGCGCAGCTGGAGCCTGATGTGGGGGCGCAGCACTGCTCTGTTTCTGGCCCCCCGCGGAGCAGCCCAGCTGACCTCAGGCCCAGGGGATGTAGGGGCTGTGCTTCACTCTGCCCCCTGGGTTCTGGACTAGCACTGGCATCAAAAGGGGGGTCAGACCAAGGCAATGGGGTTGGAGACCCGGCTAGCTGGGCCTCAGTGGTCCTGGGATAAGGAGACAGAGGCTGGGGACACTCCCCATCCTGCAGGGAGGAAGCAGTGGAAGCCACAGGAGTGACATGGATGCCGAGGCGGGGAGCAGAGGGAGGGCGCGAGGAGGCAGTGGGAGCCCCTCCTTACTCACCTCGGCCCCCTCCTGGGCCCAGGCCGGCTCTCCACTCACTTTTCATCTTTGTTCATGTGAGGGTGAAGCTGTGAACAGTCTCATGTCTTTAGTTATTCCCAAGGCAGGACACTGTTAATGTGGCTGTCAGCCAGGTGAGTGTCTGAGAATCGCACATTCATATCCACCCTTGGAGGCTCTCCCCAGCTCTGGATTCTAGGAGCGCTTCATGAGAGGAAGGACCCGTTGCCATATGACATTCTTCAGTATTTTATCAGGCGTCCCTGCCTGCCAGCACTTGGTACAGGGCTCAGGGAATTTAAGTGTCCTGCTGGAGACTGGTTCTCTCCCCGCCGTGGCTGCGCAGCCGCCGTCAGCCGCTAGGGGGCGTGGGGCAGGAAGCAGCCGGCAGGACTGTCCTGAGCGCAGGATGAGCCTCACAGCTGTGTAGG